GTACTTTTAGTCATTTTCCACTGAGACCACTGCGAGTTATAGTACATCAGGTGGTACCCTTTATACCGCGGCACGAAACAAAACGCCCCACCGCGGTGGTCTAGTGGCTAAGGTACTTGGCTGCTGAGTCGCAGGTCGCGATATCGAATCCCGGCTGCGGCGGCTGCATTTTCGATGGAGGCGGAAATGTTGCAGGTCCGTGTGCTCAGATTTGGGTGCACGTTAAAGAACCCCAGGTGGTCGAAATTTCCGGAGGCCTCCATTACGGCGTCTCTCGTAATCGTATGGTGGTTTTGGGACGTTAAACCCAATAAATCAAGCAGTTACAGAACAAAACAAACAGTTTGAGGGTCCTTAATCTTCGCCTTTCAGTGTTGAACGCGATAACAAAAACCTGTTCATATATAGTGCGTTTACTAAATTCAAAGTGGCTCTTGTCCGTGAAGCTTTCGTATACGGCAGCATTCTGTGTAATGGGTTGCATGCTTTAAACAACGAGCAATTGTGCGCGTGAAATGTTTTCGGGCAGCAGAGGAAGTCATTTTCACTGTTTTAACAAGCAGATGCACGGCAGTGAAGCAGACCACCCGCTTGCCACGCAAATGACCCGGTTTCGATACCCACCCCCAATGCAGATTTTTTTTACTTTTTTCTTTTCATCTTTCTCCATTTTTCGGTCATGCACAAGATGATGATCGTATGCTCACAACTAACGACACTGACACCGACGCTGACAACGGAATTTCTGCGTAACGAGCTCTTAAGCGCCATCGCGTTAAGGCTGGTAACGCATGTTAGAATCTCTTTAACAGAGATGCTATTTAGGCTATCGGCCACTTTTGCGGCACCCTTCGAAATTCCTCGGTTGGTGGGCACCATATAAATGGGGCTAGCTCGACTACCAAGTGAAACAGTTGCGAGCGTTAAACGAAAGCTATGCTCAGTGAAATTTAGAACGTGCCACACGTGAAAAAGAAAAAAATGTGATACAGAAAATAGAATGATAAAAAAGAGGAAATGGGTAAGAGAGTAAGAGTCAGACAAAAAGTTGAAAAAGAAACAAGAAATATCAGGAACGAAGACCGAAAAAATGAAAAAAACGGAGGAAGATATACGAAGAAATCGGGAAAAACAGAAATCAATGCAGAAATACAGAGACAGAAATAAAGAATTTCAAAGAAACAAACAAAAACAGAAATTAGCAGACAGAGAAAGCGAACGAAAGAAAGTAGAAATGAATAAATTTGACAGAAAGTGATGTCAGACAGAAGAAAAATGGGGTAAATAGAGAGAATTAGGAAGAAATGAATACCTAAAAATAAAGATACAAGAAACGTTGCAAACGAGATAGAAAGTAAAAAATAAAGCCAGACAAGAAACGCCCCACAGCTGCGCTCTTCCTTCGAACATAGCAACACTAGTGCGAAAGTACATAACTTTTGCGTATTTACTTTGCCTTAATTGACAATTCATATGCAGAATAATCTATATACTTAACTTCGTTTCAAACGTACGGTGTGAAGCCCCTTCGAAAATATGATCTCTGAACAAATAAAAGGTTCACTTCAAACATGCTGTCTTGTTAATTGGCGCAAAGGAAGAACATCGCGCAATATAAAAAAATGCTGCAACGTAAATTGGGGAAGCTTCGACCAAGTCGCCCAAGAAGTGTAAAAGTAAGACTGGAAGGTTCTAAGGACCACTCTGGTTGTTTCTAGGCCTTAGCTAATGGGTGCAGATTGATTCCAGGTTGCTTCAAGGTCGTTGCTGGGCTTTATCGAGATGACGCTTGGTTGTTACTGCGTTGATTCTTTGCGCACAGAGGTTCGAGTCAAGCCATGAAAAGTCACAGACGCAGGATGGATGTCCAGAGGCGTAAACGTGCTCAAACCAAGCATTGGCGTTTCTCATAGACATTGTCGGTGACCTGCCATCGCTTCGCAATCTTCTTGTAGTTGCCAATACCTTTCCTGTTGCCTAGTATTATGTTGTTTCATGAACTCGACAACTTCGGCACACCACCATCGCTTCACAGTAATTTTTGGAGCTAACTCTTTGTATTCTTCATTTTTAGTGGACGAGCAAGAATTAGTGCGATCTGCCCCGCTTATTGTGGCTTTTTGTGGCAAAATATTAAGCGTTAACGCCTACATTTTTGGTAGTCTCACTCTCTACAATAGTGCTATTGAACGTACCAGAATGTCTGCTGTCAGTAGCGATATGATGGATAAATAAAAAAGCCTAATGATTTTGGTGTCGTCGACATTACGTTTGTAATTATCCTGTTATGTGCATTTTATACATTTTATACATTTTATTCGTTCCAGAAGCTGACCAACGGGCGAAGAGTTCCTGAATATTGCCGCCTGCAGCACTGCCACCATAGTTTGACCCATAACATGTTCACTCCATACAGGCCTGGCATCAATTATGCCCACCGAAATGTTAGCGTCTCTAATAAATCGATTTTCTTGTTCACTAAAGCGTTGGCACAGGCTTTTTGTTTCCCTAACTTATACCTCTTTGACATCCATAATGCATGAAACGTTGCTTGCATATACAACAAATGTGCATATACAACGAGGACTGTATACAATGGTGAGCGCAGGATATTCGTGCGAAGTGTTTGACAGGTAAATCAGGCTTTCGATTTACAATAGTGGCGCCGTTATTTCTTCACCTAAGCGTTAACACAGCGTTGGTTGACCGATTCTGCGCTGCATCCCTTTGCCGAGGTATAAAGGATAGAAGTGAAAATTTATAGGCTCGTCTTTGATTGTTAGACACAACATTAGTGGCAACAAATGGACAATGATGCCTAGGGGCTCGCGTGCGGGCTTCGCGAACACATCCATATCCCACATCTAAGACTAGAATGCATTTCTCAAAAACTTAAATGCCTAATGGTCATTTTTATTTCTTTACGGGAGGTCCTGTGAAACGTTTTTTGCTTCAAGCAGCTTTTTGCTCTCACCTAGTACTTAGAGGCTGCGGCTTAGTAACGCTTTTTATGACAGCTTTTTCTGCAACTCCCCTATCATTGTATTTTTTGAGGCAGAAACACAAAGCACATTATTATTATTATTATTATTATTATTATTATTATTATTATTATTATTATTATTATTATTATTATTATTATTATTATTATTATTATTATTATTATTATTATTATTATTATTATTATTATTATTAGCAACAGCTTCAGCTCTACTTCTAATATCGTATGGTTTACGGTATAGGAAGCATGTATTGCCCGAAAGCAAAACCGTATCTCCTGTCAGCCTTGTTTTCACACTCACAGTACACACAAATTCATTTTTATTTCCTTTTATTCGCGTACCGAGTGAAACAATGGTACAAGTTGTTTGGAATACATTTATAGGAAGAGTGCGAAGAAAAAGTGTATGCTACGCGGCCATCACTTGGACTACCCAGTGAGTGTCGTTTTTTTGTGAGCGACGCCGGCTTTCTCGAGCTGTTTGAAACTTAGAGCCCACTCGAGCAGCGTCCAGTGTTGTCCATAGTACCATGTTTGAGTCCCCCGCACCCAACGGCGATAAAATTGTCATTAGAGCATGTCTTTAAATTAACCGACAACTGCCCATAGCATAAAACAAGATGACTGCACGGATGGTAAGATTGTCCCTCATAGTGACTCAAACCAACCCAATTTTTATCGTGAGAATTCGATTTATATTTTTATTTCATTTTTATTTCTTCATTAAAAAGCGCGAGAATAGTCGGTGGCGCCACCTGGTGGCAGAAGCTTTAAATATCTTAACTGCCCTACCACGTGACTGTAAACTAGTGTACGCGGTCAACATTTTTTTCTGTTGGTATTGCAATAGTGTTTGCTTTTTATAGTAAAAGATATTACTGCATAAAATGTACTTATAGGCCTGCGTTAGCAGTGCGCAATAAAGTGGCGCTGCCTTCTCACGACGTAGCGATCCCGTGCTCGTCAGCGCGTCTTGAGCAACTTTTTTCATGTGCTCATGAAACAGTTCACGCAGTTTCCAGGTCACTAAGATTTTGGAGTGACATAGTTTTTTTTTTACCAACTCTTGTCACAGAAATGAAACACAGTGACATTTTCAGTGACTTGGCTTAGCTCGTGTGTCGAGAGAGTAACGATGATGAGACAATCCACGACAAAGGTGCGTCAACCTTGGGCGCAGGCGCACGCTACGCGGTACAAAAACAAGGAAGCTGTATACACCTTTTCACAGGAAGGAAAAAACACCGCCATGATGGGCTGTGCGCGGGAGTATAAAGGCTAAGGGCGCAACGTTGCCAGTGCATTTTCGAGGGGACGCGCCAATTTGCACAGCCCAAGGAGGGCTATGGCGGCGCTTAGGGAGGCGTTTATGAAAAGGTGAATAAAGTCATATTGCCTCATTGTAATGGCTTGTTAGTTTCAAAAATAACTGTAGACCTCAAAAAAACGTAGTTAAGCATAGTTATAAGAAATTCTGCGTAGGCAGAACAATGACCACATGCCCAAGTCACTAGGAGGGCTACCGGCATCACTATCAATTCTCAGCGTTGGCGTTCAAAGCATTTCGAACCGAAAGATACTGCTTATAAAATAACTACGTTCTTTTGGGAGTAACTACTGCAGCTGTAAACACTGCGATGGGTAAGCTTTCGGTCGCGCCGGAAAAATCTGGGTCGAAAAAAATCAGTTGTCGGTCCTTTTAAGCTTTAAGAAAATTAGCAGATCCTACGTACCGTGTGAATCAATGATATGCGAAAGATCTGTGTAGAAGTTTGCTCTGTGGCACTTTTAAATGAGCACAATGTACCCAGGTGGTTGGATGTACTCGGTAAACATATTTAGACTTTTTAATGGAAGTCCAACAGAAGTGATCATAAGTTTTCACCAGCGTAAATTAGATTCTACGTCGTGGTACAAAACAGGCCACGAGAAATTGCAAAGAAAACTGCTGTAGTAGACTCCAACATGCTTTCTACGAAACATTGTTGTGTATCATATATCAACTGAAAAAAGAGCACTTTCTTTCGGGGTTCATTGAGGATCCTTTCGGACATTCGTAAGTTTCGGCGAAATAGGCCGAATTCCGCACTAGCTTGTTGCAGTCGGCAGCCATAGGGTTGTAGTAGCCAGCTTCCGTGCACGTCATGTAGCAAATAGTCAAGAAGAATACCTTCCCACTTGTCAGTTCAGAACTGAGGGCGAGGTCTGGCTCACCGCGAAGCGTTGCTTCTTTGAAGGATGAGTAGGTGATCTCCAGAGCTGGTATTTCCGGAAAGATGTTTTCTTCCGGTGCACCGAGGCAACTGACCTTGTCGTCATAGGCACGGCGACTGTTATTTGGCAGAATGGACTCTACGAGAGATCCGTCATCCGTCCACCGAAGTCCTTCTCCGTCGATGGACTTGACCAGCTGCATAGCCATAAGGAAACCGAGGCCTCCGTAAAACATGGAGAGCGTACCATTACTGTAATACGATGGAGGAGCCACGGTGGCGGTGGCCACCTTGACGCTGTTCAATGCGTAGTCGTAGTCAACGTACAGTGGTAAGTAGTTGCCTAGTAGGCGCGATGCTTCTTCGAAAGCTTTAGTGGCCCTTGGCTTAAGCATTACCTCGTGGGCTTGGATCCAAAACTCGGCGACGGATTTTCCGTTCCCGAACACGTCAGCGTATATTCTCTCGAGGTTCTTTTGCACCAGAAGAGACTTCGGTGGCCACATTCGTTTACTGACGAGTGCCAACTTATTCGCAATTTGGAGTTTGCTGTCCGCGCCAAACCAGGCTGAGCTCTTGACTTTCTTCACTGCCATTGCGACAAGTCCGTCGAAGCGCGCATCGATGCTATTGCGCAGTTCAGCAGAGAAGTGGGCAACGACGCCTAAGGAAAGGAGGAGTACCTTGAATGATGCCTCCACGTGGTGAGCACAGTATATGGGACGTTCGACGTCCGCCTTGCGCTCGCTTCCAAAGCGAGTAGCCAGGAGGCTGAGGTTACTGAGAGGGAAGTATAGCTGTATGAATTCCCACATTAAAAGGTACTTCATATTTACGTCACCATATTTCTCAACCAGTCTAGCTAGTATCCCAAGCAGAGGAGCATGACTTAGAAGGAGCTCGTCTTCCGGTGTCAGCTGCGGATGCAGCAACAGGCCCGCTTCAAAACTCTTAAACCAGCCACCTTTGATAGTAGATTGGTTGTTAGCGACCATGGCGTCGAATTCGCCGAAAGAAAACGAGGCAGCCTGCTTCCTCTGCTCAAAAACGGAGTTGAACTGTTCCAGGACGTCCGTCTCCATGTCCCGTATTTCGGCGATAAGCGCGTCGCTCAGTCCAGGAGTGCTGCTGTTGCGTTGCGGAAAGACAGCGGCTACATACGCCTTTATGTACTGGTTGTAAAAGCCCATTACCTTGCGATGTTGGGCGAGAAATATTGGAGCGTAGGTTCCAGGCTTGACCACTACGCGTCGCTTCACTCTGAACGATGTGCGGCCACTGAATACGTCTACAGAAAGCCATAAGGGCGACTGCCACTTGTAGGCAAGCCACAAAGCGAAACTAGCCGTCGAGACACTAGCATTAGAAAATCCTCGCCACTTAGGTGGCAGATGGTGTTCGAATTCCACTATCAGCGGAATCTTTGTGGCGTTTGTCGATGACTGAGTGCCGCTCACGCACATGTCGTACATCGCCAACGGCTTTTTGCCCTCGTTTAGCGTGAGCGAGCCTCGACGCAAGGTTTCTCTGAACTTGGCGTACCACGAGTAGCGTAGGTCGTCCATGACGGAGCGGATGTTATCGCGAAAGGGCGTATGCTTAGGGACCCAACGGGAGCAGACGTAAGCTGAGAAGTCATGGCAAGGATCGACGCTCGTGTTAAGGATATCCTTCAGCATATTGGCGTGTACGAGGCAGTCCTCTGTGACGCAGGTCTCGGCGACAACGGCTCTATGGGAGTGTATGAGAACACAAGCCCCTAAAAAGAGTAATAAAATGAAGGTGCCTCCGAGGAAGCCCAGCCATAACGCTGCCCGGCCAACAGATGCTCTCGCTGTTGCCGTGACCTTTTCCGTTGTTCTATCCTGCGAACAAAAAAGACAAAGCAGACAAGAGTGTGAAAATGCCTCCGAGTGTGTTGACATCACGCAAAACAAATTCAGTTTCGACACAAGTCCGAAGCAGTCAGTGCCGTAGCAACCAATTGCAATGTTGTACCAAGTAAGGCTACCACCTAACACTACTGGCTGACATCCCACGTAACTCTAAAAACTGGTGTCATAGAATACGGTAGCTCTAAGAAGAAAAGACAGAGATGCGTTTTTGTGCAGCCTGTAGCCTGCACACGAAGCGCTGAGATCGCGGCACGTAGAAGGTCGTGCGAGTGGCGTAGCAGCCGTAAACAGCTTATATAGCACTCGTGACCATGCCCTTGTGATCATAATGCACAGGTGCTGCTCAATTGATGCAGCCGGTATTAATTCATACGGCTCCGCCGTGGTGGTCTAGTGGCTTAGGTACTCGGCTGCTGACCCTGTGGGGATCTGAGGCGCGCCTGCGACCATTTCGCCGGCATTCCGCCACACGGCCACACCCTTTCGCTTTCCTGCTCTGTTAACACCACGTGGCGATAGATGGCGCCACGTGCGGGCACGGCGCGCGCCACTGCGCGCGCCGATGGAGCGGGCTCTTCTCCGTTGGTCGGCGCCGGGTAAGCACGTGTTTTCTTTCGTCCGCGGCCCCTTTGGGAATCGCCGGACTGTAGCCTGCCTGGGGTGGCCTTGGGCACCACGGCAGGCGTGTTTACTTGAGTGCTAGCTTCGGTAGCGTACGCTAAGCCCACAGCGGTGCCTAGTGCTTGAAGTGGTCGTACCACAACGAGCCGCACTTGCCGTAGGCCCAGCGCGTACGAGGTTTGCCCTAACACTCGCGACTGGGCCCAGTGGCCATCGTGAGAGTGTGCAGCATAGCCGCGAGGGACCTTTTCCCGACCGGCGTGTCAAAGCTCGCCATTGCCAGCTGCGACGTGCTCGCGGTTTTCCCCTTATTGTGAACGTCCGCGTGCGGGTGCCTTTGCTACCCGCGTCCCGGGAGCGGACGTTGTAATGTTGTTCGGGGTGCCGCCAGAGGCAATAAAGTGTTGTGTACTTTTGCATTAGAACACTGTCTATTTGCCGCGCCGCGCTAAGCGCCTTATTAGTTGAGCGCGCGCGGAGCGGTGCGCTACACGCGAGTAAACGGAGTAGCGGCCCTGTGGCTCGCTAAGCGTGAACCCGCGGTGATCGTCCGCTGCAGTAGGAGCTGGGTCACCCATAACCCGCAGGTCGCGGGTTCAAATCCCGGCTGAAGCGGCTGCATTTCCGATGGAAGCGGAAATGTTGTAGGCCCGTGTGCTCAGATTTGGGTGCACGTTGAAGAACCCCAGGTAGTCAAAATTTCCGGAGCCCTCCACTACGGCATCTCTCATAATCGTATGGTGGTTTTGGGACATTAAACCCCACATATCAATCAATCAATCAGAATACACCCAACCACTACACATAGGTTACGAGAAGGCATTTGATTGAGCAGGGATATAAGCAATCATGTAGACACTTGAAAATCAGTATGTCGACAAAACATATATAAACAATTTGGAAGAAATTTACAGAGGATCAACTGCCACCATAGTGCTCCGTAAAGAAACCTACAGAATACCAATAGAAAAGGGTGTAACACAATGGAGTGCGATATCTTCAGTCCTATTTACCACGTGCTTAAACAAGGTTTTCAGAGGCCTGGTATGGGAAGAATTGTGGATAAGAGTTATAATAGCACCTTAGTAACCTGCGCTTCGCCGGTGGCATTGCATTGCCGAGTAACTCCGGGGACGAATCACAATTTACGACTACGGAATTAGACAAAGAGAACAGAAATCTAGGTCTTAAAAGCGTACGTCTACTTGAAGTAACAAAGAGAATAAATATGGGGTGGAGCAAATTCGGCAAGCATTATCAAATCATGGCTGGTAGATTACTGACAGATTGTCATTATCGCTCAGGAGGAAAATATATATCAGCTGCATCTTGCCGGTACTTGCTTACGGCGCAGAAACCTTGAGGCGCACAAAAAGGGTTCAGTTTGAATTGAGGACGACGCGGCGAGATATAAAAAACTGAGAGGTGTAAGCTTAAGAGACAAGATGGGAGCAGAGTGGCTTAGAAAACAAACCGGCGTTAAGGATATCATAGTTACAATCAAGACGAATAATTTTACATGGGCCGAGCACGTAAAGGTAGGCAGGATAAGCGCTGCTCCTTAAGGGTAACTGACTGGATTTCCAGAGAAGGCAAGCGGGTGAGAAGGAGACAAGGAGTTAGGTCGGCAGTTTAGATGAAGACGTTTGTTAGTATAAACAGGCAGCAGAGGACCAAGTTGACTGGCAGAACATGGGAGAGGCCTTTATCGTACAATGGGAGTAGCCACGCTGATGATGATGATGTTACCTGTACATTACCTCTAATGTTGAAAACATGAACAGTAAAGCGGTGGTGTTCCTCCTACTACTTTAGCTCTAAGTGTAGGTGGCTTGCGGCCACAGATAGATAGATAGATAGATAGATAGATAGATAGATAGATAGATAGATAGATAGATAGATAGATAGATAGATAGATAGATAGATAGATAGATAGATAGATAGATAGATAGATAGATAGATAGATAGATAGATAGATAGATAGATAGATAGATAGATAGATAGATAGATAGATAGATAGATAGATAGATAGAGCTTTTACCATTATTCTATCCGTGGTAGTCGCGCCCGTTCTATGCGAGATAAGGAGCGCACGTGGCTGGGAGTCTTTTGAAGGCGAAGACAGGCCGCCAGAGTTGATAACGCTTTCCGGGCCTGCAGTAGCGTTCGTGTTTGTAGTACTGCGTGCGGAAGATGGAGGCTTTCCTTTCATCACCGTTGCTGTACTCAAATGCGTCGGCCTGTGAGGTGGGGGATCTCTTTCCGTGGATAACATCGGCCTGTAGAGGCCGATGTCGATGGGCTGCGATCCCGGTCTGCTTCCCGCAGTGCTGCTTAAGGCTCCAGCTGCCATTTTTCGCGCTTCCGGACTGGCGGCTCTCGCCCTCGCATCGTCCTTCGGGGCTGTGTCACGATCGCACGACGAAGTGCGGACGATCCCCTGTGCTGCTGGTGAGGCAGTTGCTTTGATAGGTGAAAGCTTAGTCGAGGACTTCGGCATCTTCGCCATGACTTTGGGTGATCCCTGGTGTCTGTCGGCGATTTCACCCTGCTATGTCCTCTTTGCTCTCGGGTTGGCCACAGCAAGACCTGAATTGACGTGGTTGCCGCCGTATCTCTGACAATGCTCGTTAACTCGAGTCAAAACAGCGTCAACTATGATGTCAGCGAGATATTTCCCTCTCGAGATTCAAACAATATCGCTGTCCTCAATCGCACTCACCTATGATACATGAGAATCTCGAGAAAACGAGAGATCAAATTGATGATGATAATAATGATAATGAAGCCTTTCCTAAGGCTCATTCCCATTCGAAGAGAATGGCCAAAAATTTATTATACGATTTGTTTAACACTTCAAGTATTAAGTATTGACAAAGAAAAATACACGTACTTGCAGACGAAAACACTGCAATCATAGTTTTTTTAACCATTTAGATCAGACAGTAATGTCAAAGTATCCATGTGGTATCTTCTCTCGATTTCATTCGCCAGCTCCTTTGCCACCTGGACTCAACACGGCTGGTATGAAACAGAATGCTGTGAAAGAAATGGTTGCTGTGGGTTATACTCGGCCTACATTGCTGAGGCCTCAGCCATCCGAACAGTGACGACCGGCAGACCTAATGGCAATTATTCTTGCGCTGCGTAAACTCCCATCCCACATTTCTTCAGTGGTGGTGCTAACAGATTTCTTGTCCATGTGCACTGCGCTAGTAGCATCTCACCTCTCCAGCTGCCTCGCAGATCTTTATTCGTACATGACAAATTGTGTGTGGAACGTCCGTCTGGTTTGGGTTCCAGGCCACAATGAATTAGAACTAAATGAAGCGGTGGACACCTTAGCAGCAGCATCTGTTAAAGGACCTGTCTTAAATATTGTAATACCATTCCGCAATAACACGTTCGCACGATTCAGAAAACATTGTCCGCACGAGGAAGGCACTAAATCTTTGTACTTAAAGCGATACAAGGTTCCAGCACCTTAGGTATCCGTGAAACAGCTTATGCTGCAGCACAAGACAATTCGAAGGTGCAATAACAAAATTGTGATGCAGAATATCGTCATCAAATTTCTACTTACACAGGCCTGGATTTGTTATAGCACCCGATGTGTCTTTTGTAATGAAGCAGAAACGCTCGAGCACTTCTTCTTGGAGTGTCGAAGATGTCAAAACCTAATACAAAAATTTCTAAAACCGCCTTTTCAAAAAGGGGCCTTGAGCTTTCTACATCGTCATTGCTCTCCCTGAGGTCGTCGGCACTAGCGCATTGTGACAGGGTCATTTACGAGGGTATGTTTAATTATTTAAAATAACCAAAGAGAATGTCAAGTCAAATATATCAATACATCTATAACAATGTTTCATCTATCATTTCACCTTATGTATATCAGTTATTTAGTTCATATCTTTAAGTAGCCTTGCATTGAAGGACACCAACATTACCACGAATATTTTTGTCCCTATTTAAATTATCTTCTTCACACTTTTTTCTTCCCTCTCTGTTTTTTTTTTGCTCTTTCTCTTATTATTGTTAGTTTTATTTCA